TATAATTTCCTATAAAGGCCAGAATTGGTTTCAGACTAGGAATGGCACAGAGACCTATAGATAAAGATAAGTTCAAGAAGCCTTCACTGGAGTAGATAAGTTGGCAAGTCAAGCAGTCTTGGACATATACAACAGTTTCTTTACATTTAAACTTCAACAACAATGATATATGAGCCTATCACAGGAAACAAGGCTAGATACTTTGCAATATACCTACGTTTTATAAAGAATAGAGTGAAAGCCGATAAAGGTATGAGTTATTCTTAAGCTCTTTTAACAACCATTTACTGAGCATCTATGATGTTCAAGAAATAGTTTTAGGAGCTTAAGTTAAGGGTATGAAAAAGACATGGTCCTTAGCAATTATAACAATGTGGTAAATGCTATAATGAGATGCTAACGTATGAAGAAATATCAAAGAGGAGATTACTAATTCTTAAAAAGCAAGCTGGGAAATGCCTTCTGAGAGGTAATGCTTGAAATGAGTCTTAAAAGATAAGTAGAAAATTTTGTTTTAAGCTGGTAAATGTTGGGGTAATTTGTTATACAGCAATGGATAACTACTACAGTGCCTTATGGAGACCATGTTACAGCATAACTAGGAGACTACGGAGAAGACCCAGCCCAGTCATGTAAACTGTGTTTCATGTGTATACTGCAGGTTATATTGGACATCTCTTCATATTTTTCTTCTCACATATTCTTAGGCTTACCTGATCCATGTTGGGCATAGAAAATGAGAACAAACACTCTGAACGGGGATGAGACAGGTAATGGGAGGAGGCAATACAATCTCAATCTTGTCTGATTTCCCCCACAAAGGAATCCAGGTTGGTTGGCATAGGACTTGGTCAAGTGGTAAGTGTCAAGTGATGTTAGGACTTGGTCAAATCATTACTCAGAGAGACCAGAAGTGAGAGGAACAAGAGGATGAGTAAAAACTCTTTCTGAGAGAACCATAACCATGAAACCCAGAAAAACCTAATTGGTTGTCAGTTCCAAGTAGTGACTGTAAAGCCAAAAATGAGAGAAAATAGAAGTTTCTGTTTTTCTTGATTCATGTGGGTAGATGAAGGAACAGAGCAGGCAACAAAGGCAAGAGAGAACAGAAGCATTCCAGACAATGGTGGCAACCAGTGGGGTTCAAAGCTGCTGGGGGGGGGTGTCCATGGTTTGAGGGTCAAAGGGTAGCATCAATCTGGTTAAAAAGGCACCAGATGAGGGCAGACAAGTCGTAGTGTACCTGTTCCACTCCAATTTCTGTTTCAGTAGGTTGAAAAATGGTCTCCATATCTTCCCATGAACAAATGGGTATATCTAACTAAAAAAGGAATAGAAATGAACTTGTGCTGCATTTAAACTGGGAGTAACAATAGCATCAGGACTATAACTCTCTCTAGTAATACCCTCACAACATGGTGGATGAGTTTCCAGAAGTCATTCTAAGTAAGCAATTCCTTGCCTCTTTATTCTCTATTCTCTTCATATCGACTGGGCATTTCCTTTTGCCCTTCACACCAGCAAACTCATGGAGTTCAAAATGAGGGGACCATAGGAAAATGTCATTGTGCAGCATGACACAGCAAGGACTTAGGCCACCTACCCAAAACAAAGGCCACAGCGCAAAATGCTTTCCTACCTTCAGGAGGTAGTACAGATACCTTCAGGCAGAACTGGGTACCTAATTTGTGGGGCCTGGTGCAAAATGAAAATGTAGAACCCCCTTGTTAAAAATTATCAAGAATTCCAAGACAGCAACAAGAGAGTATTAAACCAAGCCTGGGCCCCTCTAAACATAGGGCCCTGGGAGACTGCACAGGTTGCATACCCACAAAGCTGGCCCTGACTTCAGAGACAGTATAGCATGATCCTTCAGGAAAGCTTTAGAGTCTGAGCTGGATCCAAATCCCATCTGTGCCACTCATTAGCTATGTGACCTCCGGCAATTTACTTAGTCTTTCCATGTTGCCAAGAGGTTGTGTGGTTATAATCTGGTGCTGGGAAGATTAAATGGGATAATGAACAGAATGTATACAAAGAGCTTAGCACAATGCCTAGAACATAGTGAGCACTCAACAAATGATAGCTGTACTATTACTGTTCAATGAAACATACAGGTAGTTGTCAAAGCAATAAGTTTAAGAAATGGACTGCTGACTTACTATTAAGGATATGAAAGAAAAAGAATAATATTTTAGGTCAACTAAAATAATGAAGCAGACAGGGAAAATTAAATCTTCCACTTGACTGTGCTGTCTTCGCTAATCACTTTTCTATTTCTTTTCTTCCTTTCATTGCCAAACATACAAAAGGTGATCTGCATGCTGTCTCCACTTCTTATCTGCATCTAATGCCACAGTTCTCTCTAATGTGGCTTTTAATATCCCCATGGCCACCCCCGCCACTCTAGTGAAGCTATCATTTTCAAAAAGTTACTAATGACCTTCTGTTTACTAAATGTAATGAATGTTTCCCACTCTTTCTATACAATTTCATACTGCAGACCAATTTCTGCAGCTCAAAACTTTTTCTTCTCTTGACTTCTATGATACTACACTCTCATGGTTAATAGCATGTCTAACCGGCCTTGGCATCTGTCAGGTACACAACAAATGGTGGTGAATAGAATGCAGTTGTTTGATGAATAAATTAGATGGTTATCTTGCTTCTTTGATATTCCTTATTTTCTACCATACAAACTCCATGGCTTCTCCCTCCCTCCCTAAATGTGGGATATATCTCCAAGTTTCAGTCCTTCATCCTCTATTCTATTTCTATGCTGTTACCACCGGTGAACTCAGCTAATCATATGGCTTCAATTATCACCATTTTTTTTCTTTTCTCAGCTCCTATAATACCACACATTAAGCATCTCAAAAAGGTACTAAATGACTGCTATACATTTGTGATTTCATTTACTCATCACAACAATATTGGGTAGGTGGCATTATTACAGATGAAGAAACTGAAGTCAAAGTCATGTAGCAAGTACCTGGTAGAACTGGGATCCAAATCTTTGTTTAGCTGAGAATAACCCGCATACTACACCACCCCTCTCATTTTCCTATCTCCTCCACATCACAAATACAGGACAGTATTTGCACACAAGCAGGTGTTCAGAAATACGCTGATTGAGAAGACTGCGTAAATACCGCCCATGATTTTCCAGGACTTACAGTATCATCAATCTTAGCAGAGCATATTAAGCATGTCACTCCAGTGACACCTTCTTTAGACTTGATCTGTAATATAACTCAAAACAGAAAATTTGCTAAAAACTCGCCATAAGCTGTTCTAAAAATAAATTTGGTCTGAGCAAAGCAAAAAGGCCTTTATTTGATTCAAATATTACGAGAGTTTTGGGGATGAGGTCCACTTTGCTACTCTGGGCCCAACCTTGCTCAGCTTCTAAATGATTAGGAAGTAAAAATAGGCTGGCTAGTTGATGGCTGATGAGGTTAAATGAACTATTTATAGTTCTAGAGATAGATACTAAGACAGCAGAATGGGATTTTCTCTGCTCTGGTAGCTAAGACCTCATTAAAAGAAGCCCAATACATGTGAGACATGGGTGGAAACTGGGATGAAGAGAAGAGGATAATAGTAAGGAGGGAGGGTAAACAGAAAGGAGGAGGCATTGGAAAGCCTATGGAGGGCCTGGCCCAGTCTGGCAGATCCACCGCTGTTGTGCACAGCTGGCACCATGCAACAGTGGGCCCAGCTGCATTTGCACGATTCATGGTCTCAGTCCTGGACTACTTGCCCTGACCCATCTCACACTCCAGTCCTCTCTTAATCCAGATCCTTCCAGCTTCTGATCGTAATACTTACTTCCCCAGGTCTCACAGATTTGACATCCAGCATTGCTTCCCTAGTTATGGCCATGTATTCTCTTTTTGTATGGTTTAGATTTGCCCTCCTCAGATGCTGCCTCTAGTGCCAAACATTATGCCCAGTTTTCAGGCCCTCTCCTTTAGAGCGATTGAAAACTACTCCTATTCCACCTCCACATGATGGACTCTTACTTGGAAAGACATGAGTGACAAAGACCAGGGATGAGGCTCAGAAAAACTGATGAGGGGAAAATATGGCAGACAAAAAATATCACTGGACAACTGGGCTGGGAATGAGAAATTCCAGGCTACTTTTAGAAAGTTACATTACAGAGGAAGGAAAAAAGCCATAGTTACAATAGAAAGCCATTCCCTAGAGATAACATATTCTTTATGTGGCTGCATTTGCTGTTCCCCCGCTTTGGCTGCCTTTTCAGTCCTTTCCAATTTTCTCTGCAAGGTGAACTCCTATTCACCCTTCAACACCTTGTTTAAATGTGTTCTCTGGAAAGCCTTCCCTGGTCCTCTCAGACAGCTAATTGTTCCCTCCTCTGTGCTTTCACAGTCCTTTGCATTCACGTCTATTGTGCTGTTAATCACTTTTACTAGCAATTTCATTTGTTTCTCCCACCACTTCTTTCAGGACAAGGACTAATTATCTTATTCATCTTTGCATCCCCAAGACATAGCAGAGTGCCTGGCATATGCCAAGTATTTGTTGTTGGGTGATAAAAGACATCAAGAGCAACGTGGAAGTGCAATTTGCACTTCACTTGCAAAATCAAATTGGTTCCTGGTACTTTTCATGTGTAACCGCGTTTTCTCTTGATTTAGAAGGAACGAGTTTAGACTCATAAAATAAACTCTATTGATATCCTGGACGCATTAGCCGATTTTCATCCCCACTAGTGACAGAAATATTTTTCCCCCCCACACTTCCAAGAAACTCCCAGGGTAAGCTTAATATCAGTGGCGCATCTCTCCTCCTACGATTTCTATTGTAGCGAAAGCTAAATTACACTGTGAGCCTAAAGCTGCCACCAGTCTTAGTGAAATGGGGGAGGGGGGATAATTACAAGAAGACACTTCTGTAGCAGACCTAGGAGGGGGTTGGGGGAGGAAGATGAATTTAAGCTTCGCCTTATAAGAAAAGTGTTAGACACTCACGTAGAACAGCCGCTTCCTCTGTGCATGACAGACCCGATCCAGGTGTCCAGCACCGACCTTTTCCCATGGGTGTCAGGTCATCACCCAGCACAGAAAACAAGGGACCAGCGCCTTTCTAGGGCATCCTTCTTTCTCCAACCTTGGGGCCCGCTTTTCCTCTAGGGGACTGTTCTCTCCTCCCAGTTCCAGCAACCCCGGTTCCCTCTGCTGGTGCCCCCCACGCCACGCTTGACTCTGGACCGAAAGTGCCGGCGGCTGGGCTGTCAGGCCGCGGCTGGGGAGCGGGCGCCCTGGTCAGGCCCGAACCCCGGGTCTCCCCGCACTCTGCGGGACGAGCGGAGCAGGCGCAGGCCGCGCAAGGCCACGGGCTGCCGCGGCGCGGGCCTCTCCGCGGGAGGGGGCTCGGTGTCCGGAGAAAGCGCGCCAGTGACGGGACCTCGGCCCGTTCCCGTTCCCGGCAGCCCCCCGGCAAGCCTCGGCCCCAGAGCTCCCCGCAGCCCTCCTCGCGGCGGGTTACCGGCCTGGGGGCGCCGCGCTCTACCGGTCGCTGGCCGGGACTGCGGGCTCTCAGCGCGGGCCCCACGCCGCGGACCAGGGGTCAGGCCGCCTGCCGCCCGCCTGTCCGTGCCCATGGCAATGCCCCCGCCCTGCGCGGCCCGTCCTGGCCGAGCGCTCCGGCCCGACCGTGACAGCTGGGTGCCCAAAGGGTTAAGCCGGCAGCGCGGCGGCCGGTGTCCCCCGCGCGCTGCCCATCAGCCGCAAGCCGGCCCCAGCGCGCACGCGCCCGCCCGTTACCTGCGGTCGCCTCCGCGCTCCTCCTCCACCTGGCCGCTCTCTCCCGGGGGCCGCCCCTCAGCCCGCCCCCTCGGCTCGGCGCCGCGCACCCTGCTGGCTACTCGGACGCGGCCCGCGGAGGAGGGGCGTGGGCTTCATTACCATATATTAGCATACCAGCGCGCGTCACGTGGCCGCTCCAGCCAATGGTCACCCTGGAAGGGCGGGGATTGGGCGGAACACGCCTTAGTGCTGCTCCCAGCCTGAACCGGTGGCCATGGCAACGGGCGGGTGGGCGGGGTAGTGGGGAGGCTCTGGAGCCCGGTGCCCCCGGGAGCATCTCCTCTACCTGAGCTCCGCATGGCGACCGCGCGCAGTTTTCCCACCTCGCGGATGGAGAGGTTTGTCTCAGCCAGAGAGATCCAGATTCAGCCAACATTTATTGAGCACTTACTACGTGCCTTAACACTTTGCCGCAGAATGTGATGTCTGTCCTATTAACCCCACTAGATAGTAGGGAAAGTGGAGGCTCAGAGAGGTTAGATCATTCACCCAAAATCATACAACAACATTAAATGGCAAAAGTGGAGATCTAAGACCATTTTTGACTTCAGATCTGGGACAATCGCGAGTTTTTTTTATCCAGCAGGAGTCTCCTAGCACCTCCTCACAATTCCAGGTGTGCTGAGCGGTTGAGAAAATCCTTGTAAATAATTTGTACAGCGTTTTACTGTTTCCTTACGGTGACCTTTGAGAGTAGTAGGCAGAACAGTTATGCCCGTATTACAAAGGAGAGAAAATGAGGCTCGGAGAGGCCATGTGACATAATTTAGGTCAAACAGCTATTAAGAGCTAATGCTTAGTTACAGTGATTTATACTGAAGCTCATTACTTTAGAAAACTTGTAAATTCAGTCTTCTCAACATGGTGGAATTACTGTGACCATTCTATGGATTAAGAAACCGAGACTTTGGGAAGTTAAGCAAATTGCCCAAGGGTATATAGCTAGTAAGTAGCAGATTTAAGGTTCAAATCCAGGTTTATCTGGCCCCAAAGCTAGTCTCATTGTATCACATTTATTTAATTTAGGATTGGATTTAGAACCTCTTCTCTCATAGAACTTTGTCTCCTCTCAAGATATGGTGGTGTTATGTCTTAATCCTACAACAAATATACCTTGTGACAAGTGACATGTGTTAAGGTCACAGAGGCTACATAGTAAAAGAGAATAGAGTCACCAGTAGGTAGGGGCACTGTAGAATTCTCTGTCTTTCCTTTATTTTATTTTATTTTATTTATTTATTTTGAGTTCGATCTCACTCTTGTCACCCAGACTGGAGTGCAATGGTGCGATCTCGGCTCACTGCAACCTCCGCCTCCCGGGTTCAAGCTATTCTCCTGACTTAGCCTCCTGAGTAGCTGGGATTACAGGCACCTGCCACCACACCTAGCTAATTTTTGTACGTTTAGTAGAGACAGGGTTTTGCCATGTTGGCCAGGCTGGTCTCAAAATTCTGACCTCAGGTGATCCGCCTGCCTCGGCCTCCCAAAGTACTGGGATTACAGGTGTGAGCCACCGTCCCCAGCCTGTCTTTCCATTTTTACCCTAGGGATTTGATAGTTTAGCTAAAGGCACAGTAGTTTAAAAGCACAAACATCTGTGTACAGACTTGTTTAGCCCATTGATTCTAATTGTATTTATTTATTTATTTATTTTTTAGAGACAAAATTATGCTCTATCATCCAGGCTGGGGTACAATGGTGCGATCATAGCTCACTATAACATTGAAGTCCTGGGCTCAAGTGATCCTCCCGTCTCAGCCTCCCGAGGACTAGCATGCACCCCCACACCCGGGTAATTGTTATGTTGCCCAGGCTTGTCTCAAACTTCTGGCCTCAAGCAATCCTCCTGCTTGGGTTCCCCAAAACTCTGGGATTCACAGGTGTGAGCTACCACATCTGGCCATGGTTCTCTAACTTTAATATATTTATGGATTACTGGACAGGGCTCTATGCCTCAAACTAAATATACTAAAGTTTATAGGCATTTAAAGGGATTATCAAAGGTAATTTTGAATACACGTACATTTCACCTTCCTGGGTTGCTTTAAAACCCGATTTCCTCCTAAAACGTGACTGTTTGGTGCTTAAGAGCACAAACATAGAAGCAGACCTGCGTGGGTTAAAATCCTGACTTGGCTACTCATTGACTGTGCGACCTTGGGCAAGTTACTTAAACTCTCTTAAATTTCCTCATTTGTAAAATAGGATAGAAATGTTGTGAGAGTTTAATGACTTACTGTATATACATATATATACATATATAATATAAACATTTCATATAGGCCCTGGCCCAGGGATAAACCCTCCATAATTGATAGCTATTGTCATTTCTGTTATCATCCCAGGAGCTTTCCTAGGAACAGACAACCCACATGTACACAATCTCTCAAGGCTTCCTAGCTAGCTTTGGAATTCTGAAGCTGCCTTCCATCCCTTGTGGCATATTAAACAGCCTGTTGTGCTGCTGAAGGCTTGTTATCTCTCCAAATTACATTCTCTCTTCTTGGGATCATAAATAATTCCTGCACTCAAAGGAGCTGGTTTCTCTTGCACATCTCTAGCACCAAATTACCGGAGTTGCTCCTTGCAGAAGAGGATCTTGACAAACAGTGGAGCCATAAGTCAGGCTCCTTGAAACACTTTTATGAGCGCCTTAATGAGGGAGATGAGCTGTCATCAGGAACTAGTCCTGTTCTTCCTGACCACAGGAAATGAGCTCTTTGTGCTCAAAAGGTTTCCAAAGCTGAGGCGCAAAGAGTTTTCAGGAAGTGGGCCAGGGATGAGAAGTTGTTGACTCAGAGAATCCCAGGGCTAAACAGCCCCTATCCTGCCATTCACCCTAGAGGGTCAAATGATTCATGGTCTTATTGCAGTAATAGCACCAAAGGGTGGTGTGTGTGTGTGTGTGTGTGTGTGTGTGTGTGTGTGTGTGGTGGTGTTGATCCTCCCCAGTTCCCTACTATGTGCACACTCCAACAGCCTACCTATTCCCCCCTGACAAAAAGATACCACAGAATAGAACACTGGTTAAGAGCATTGTCTCTGGAACCAAAGAACCAGATTTGAATCCTACTTCCACTATTCAACAATCTGTGTGATGTTAGGAAACTTGCTTAACCTCTCTGCATATCAATTTCCACATCTGTAAAATGGAAATAATAACAGTGCCCATTTTATAGACTCTTGTTAGGATGAAATGAGTTACTAACATAAACTGCTTAGAACACCCCATGGTATACGCTAGAGAAGTATTTGCTAATTAAACAAGAATAAGTGTATAAATCCAGTACAAACAACGTATTTTCTATAGAGGCCACTACAGCCTTAAGTAAAGTGCCCTAGGCCCTCTCCGATGTGCTGCCCTCCAACCCCCTTCTGATCGTCATATAAATGTTGCCCAGGAGCAGGAAGACATGTGCTTGGGAACTTTGGTTTGCGCCTGGCTCTGCCACATTCCTTGCTCTGTGAACTTGGCCAAGTTATTTCACATCTCTGAGCCATAGTTTTGTTATTTGTGAAATGAGACTAATTTCCTCCCAGAGTTGTTCTGAACATTCAATCAGATAGTGTCTGGCAAGAGGTGATGAGGGCCTGAACTGGATAGAGGTCATATATCATCAAAATCACCCTCTTCTTTACCTGAGTTGTTTCTGGTAAACATCGCTGCTCTACATTAATGAGAATTACTAACATTTATGGAGCCCTTACCCTGGCCTTGTGCTATGTACATCATTTTATTTAATCCTCAAAATAAACCTAAGCCTCTGAGAGATTAAGTAACATGTTCAAGAAGATCACACTGTAAGTCAGTGGCTGAGCCAGGATCCAAGCCGGGACTATCTGATTCCCAAGTCCATGCTAATAACCCACCATGCTACATGCAGGCCTCCAACTCCAGCTTGGCTCATAGGACCCAGGGAATGTGTGTTATATTTCTTTAGCACCCTTCCCCCATCCATATATACACTCTCTCCAGTCACCCACCAGCACCAGGCATAGTGGGTGCTCCATACACATTTACTGAATGAGTGAAAATAAGTCACTATGACATCCTTTTATAGTGATAAAAGTCCATTTCTTCTTGAGCTGTCCCTGGTGGGAATAAAAGCAGCTGGTGACTCTCCTCCCCACCCCCTAGCATCCTTTCTGATAAATAATAATGTGGGATGCCTCCCTCCTTTCCCCATGGGAGAGTTAGGCTTCTTGGCGTCAGAGATCTACAATAGACACAGTGATGACTCATCTTCAGTGTGCATTTGGAGCGATGTCAGGACCCCTGGAGCTTTTTAGGGCTCTGTTAATATGTATCAGTAGGGTGATTTCCAAATAATGGCGTTGGATAGATGTATTTGCTGGGGGTGCCCTAACAAAATACCACAAACTGGGTGGCTTAAAACAGCCCAAGTTTAATCTCTTACAGTTTAGGAGGCCATAAGTCTGAAATCAAGATGTCATTAGGGTTGGTTCCTTCTTGGGGCATCGGGGGAAAATCTGTTCCACGCCTCACTCCCAGTTTCTGGTGGCTGCCAGCAATCCTTGGCACCCCTTAGTTTGTGGATGTCACTCCAATCTCTGCCTCTGTTGCCACATGGCGTTCTCTCTGTGTATCTGTATCCCAATTTACCTCTTCTTGTAAGGACACCAGTCATGGTATTAGGGCCCACATCAATCCAGTATGATTTTGTCTTAATTTGATTACATTTGCAAAGACCCTATTTCCGGATTAGGTCACAATCACAGGGACTGGGGGCTAGTCTCTGTGAATATCCTTTGAACATATCCTTTTGGGGGACATAATATGTTTGGGGTAGAGTGGGGAGGAGATGGAAAATGAAGGGAGGGAATGAAGAGAAAGGGGAGGTTGTTCATGAGGGGCAGATCACACAAACAGAATGAACT